GGGAGAAGCAGACTCCCCACCGAGCAGGGAGTACGAAGCAGAACTCGATTCCAGGACTCCAGGATCATGACCTGAGCCAAAGGCAGTCGCTTAACCGACTGAGCCACCCAGGCGCCCTCTATTCTGCTTCCTAAATGGCTGTCCCTCCGCACTCCCCCGAGGCCCCCACTAGGTTTGGGCACATGCTGCTGCCCTGCCCCTTCACTCTGTTCTCCACTCTGCCCCAGAGAGGGCCGAAACCCTGCCCACACACTCCCCGACCAAAGCCCCTTCAAGAACCTCCTACAGAAGGGGAACGTCTTACTCCTTGAACTGGCATTCAAGGCCCTGCATTTGGTCCTAGCTCCCTGTACAGCCTTTACATCACCTATTACCCCTCTCTCCCGGACACACAGAGCACCACACCGGCCACCCGCACTGCCTGAACTACCCTCCTCCTTCCCACCTGCCTTGTGAGTAGGACACTTACTTATCCTTCAAAGCTCTGCTAAAGAGTCCCTTCTTCCTAGAGGTCTCCAGACTAGTTCATCTCCCCAAAAGGCTGGAAAGAAATCATGCAAAGCCAGAGACTACGCCATCCAAAGATTTCAGCCCAGCGCTTCCGACACCTCTCTCCCTCCCAACCAAAGATCCTATGATTCCAAACTCCCCGTGTGAGGATGTGAACCAATATCCTACAATCCGAACCTGAATGGTCTGGGATTTCAATCCATAAATATTATGGCCCTAAAATGCCAGTAGGCAGAGACTGTAATTGTAAAATCACCTCCCCAAAAGAGCTGTCGGCACCCCACCTCTTTCTTCTCACCTGACCACTCTAAATCGACCTTGCGGACCACACAACTGCATGAGACGGTGTAGGGAGGGAAAGCCCTGCTGGCCCGCAGCGGTGCCCCCACCTCCCCAGGCCCAGGCCCCACATCTGCAGGTGAGCGCCTGGCTCTGCCCGGGCTCACGCCCAAGCTGGAGACCTGTAAGGGCAGGGCGCCCCATGGCCTTTATTCTCCCTCATCTGCCAGGTGAGGCGGTGGGCTGCCCTGGGTCTCCCCTCACGGGGCCTGCCACCACCTCTGCCCCTTAGGACACATACCCCTTCCCCGACTTCCTCCCCCTTTTCTCTCTCACCATTGCCGACAAGCCCAGAGCCTGCGGTCGGGTTGAGTCTTGTCTTCTCACAGCAAGAGCAAGGGAGCAGTGATAAACACATCTGTGATCCTTTCCAAGATGCTCAGCCAGGAGCGGCTGTGGGCTGGCCCCCTCTCTCCTGTCAGCTCCCCACCTCTGCTGTGCGTGGGGCCCATGGAAGCCTATTGTGGGGGAGGCCCTGCGGTGAGACCCCACGCTTTTGAATTACAAATAGCACATTGCAGGACCCTGTGGGCATCTCCCCCTGGGGCCCTCGCATGGCCCTGACCAGCACCGGGGATCAGATGGTCAAATGGAGGCTTCAGATAGGGATGGGACCCAGAGCTGATATACACCGAGCCTTACTAACTCCAGGCTAAGGGGCTGTCCTTGCTTTTGACCACTTGGATATGTGCCTGGGCATTCAGGGTGCCCTGTGGCAGGGTGCGAGTCTGGCCACCACACGGCTAGGCTGGGAAGCTGCCTTCGCACTGTGCTCTGCCTGAGTAGTAGGGCCACTGCCCGGGGTGGCCTCCATTTGCACCCCACAAAGGGGCCAGACTGGTGGTTGCTCGGGTCTTTCCCTGCGTACACTGGGAAGTCCCGAATTCCACCTCGGCTCTGGAAAATATACAGTGCCTCGGTGAATGGCTACCCCAGGAAGACAGCCTCACGGGTCCTCCCAAACCAGAGTGGGGTCGGTAGGTGTGGTAAGCATCCCTTCAGTTGCGTTTCCCTGAGCTAGGAGAGTCGTTCCTGCTCAGAATCATCAAGTTGGACCCAGCCTGCTCTCTTCCCAGACCCTGTTCCTGACCCTATCCAAGGCCTCACTCAGCCTCCCCCGAGTCTGTTTCTATGACTTCTGCACCTCCTCTGCTCCAGAACCATCAGTGGCTCCCCAGTGACCATCCGGTACTCAACTCTTCACTCCGTGTGTATGTAGAATGCCTCTGTATGCCAGGCTCTGGTGTGTAGCCATGCATGAGACACACAGGGTCTCTGTCCTCATCAGGCTTATGGTCTAGGGAGAGGAGGAAGCCCCAGAACAAGGCAACATCTGAGAAAGGCTAGGAAGGAATTGAAAGGGAAGCTTCTCTGGGAAGAGGATATCTGAGCTGAAACTGGAACAGTAAGAAGAAGGCAGCCACAGGAAAATCTGAGGGCAGAATGCAAGGCCTTCACTCCTTAGCCTGGCAAATGATCTTGCAGGCTCCTCAGCTGCTGTTACACCTTCTGGGACCCACAGACCAGCCCCTCTGGGCCCCTCGACTAGCCCTAAGTCTCCACCTCTGGGCCTTTGCCACCACGTCCCCACACCAGACCTGGGTTATCTTTACCTCTTTTCTCTGTCTAGCCAAACCTCACTCATTTGGGGGGCCCATCTCCTCCAGGAAGCCCACTGAGGTTGGTTTTATGACCTCCGACAACTCCCAGCATCTGCATCACCCAAGAGCCACCTGGAACAGCAACTACGGCCCTCATAGCTGCTCCAGTGATGTGGCTTCTAAACCCTTCTCCCGTGTGATATACACAGAACTTTTCTTACCCCAGGCTAAGAATTCTCTCCTTTAGTTCTCCCAGGGGCCCAGCCAGGTAGGCACAGGCCGGGAGAGGGAAGCCACTTGCCTTCCTTCCGTCCGCCTCCAGGGAGTGAGAGCTGCTAGGGCAGGAGGGAGCCTGAGAGCTGTGACCTCAGCCCCAAGGAGTGATCTGACCACAGAAACAGGAAGGGATGAACAGCGGAGAACCCTGGAGGGGGGTGCTGGCCCCAGGCAGGAGCTCCCAGCCATGGGACTGAATAAGCAGGGCCTTACGCTTTACCCCAGGACATCATCCTGGGGCGGGCCAGGTGAGCAGCTCTGCCCATGTGACTCACCGAGGCTGCCTGGGCAGCTCTGACACACGGGATGTGGCAGGAGGCTGGAGAGGAGGCGGAGGCGGAGGGTGGGGGGCCTGAGGGCAGCAGGAAGGGCCGGCTGGCCTGTCTCATTCCTCTGCACCCCAGGGGGGCTTGCACCTCTGCAGGTGTGCAGGCTACCCCCAACACCACTCGCCAGACTCCCTCAAACGTGACACACGTTTGCACAACTTGTGATCACACCCAACCTGTGCTGAGCAGCACAAACTACATGCCAGGCCCTGGGGTAAGTGCTCTCCACCTCAGCCCTGAGGACACTCCTGAGAGCTCTGCTTCTTTCCCGTGAAGGACAGAGCCAGAATGTGAACCCAGGCGGCCCGCGCTCTGACCACCAGGCCGCAGCCACGCGGCGAAGCAAATAGGCCAGCCGGAGAGCCAGATGCGCTGGGTTCGAATTCTGACTTTGCTCCTTAGCTGTGGGAACTGCTGCGTGCGCTTCATGGCTCTGTGCCTCCACATCCTCACCGGTGAAACAGGGACAATGACAAGACCATTCACAGGGACGCCTTAAGGACTAAGTGAGCTGATACATCCAGAGCCAGAAGACGGCCATTCCACGGTCGCGTTCTCACAGAACAAGATCCGTGCCACATCATCATCTGTCCCCAGAATGAGCAGCTCAAGGCCCACACTCTGCAGGAGATGGAGGTGTCTGAGCCTCTGGTGGTCTTTCTTTTCATCTTTTCTGTAATTTTTAAGCGTTTGCCAGTGACTACCAGTTCTCAATGCCAACACTTAAAAATGAAGAGATTACACGTAAACCCTGAGTCTGGCCACGGCAGGCTGGCATTCCTGCACGGCCACAGCAGGTGGGAACCAAGCTGGAGTCTCGTAAATGGGGCCCGGGTTCCTTGGTTCACCATAGCGCTGTGCGTGGTCTCCCTTGCTCTTGTCACTCCTGCTTCTGCCGGCCCCTGTGGCCTCCGGTGGTGCCTACATGTGTCTTGTCCCTACAGTGGTCCATCCCCCACCCAGGCGGCATGGAGCCCCCCTCCCTGTCTGCCCTGGCTCACAGGGGCTTTGCCATGGAGCTCCAACCAGTCCCCAGAGACTTTCCTCTCCCAGAACCCCCGGGGCCTGCAAGCTCCAGGGTGGGCTCCGAGCACCTTGGCCTTCACAGGCACTTCCGGAACCGATTCCCAACCTCAGGCCTCTGTCCCGGGACACTGCCCACACCAGGCAGCACTAACCTGGGTGCCCCGAGATGCCTGGTCAAGCTGCCTATACTTGAATACCTCCTGAGACGGGGCGCTCACTTTCTTGATAACTCAATCTGTTTCTCAGTGGCTATAGCTTGTCCTCACACTGGCAGGACCTGCCTCTCTGTGACCTCAATCCTCACGGGCCCTCACTCTGTACTCTGGGCCTGCTGACCCTTGTGCTCCCTTGCCTTGAGACAGCCAGCTCCTCATGGGACAGTGTCCAGCCTCCTTTCTATTCCAGCCACCTCCATTAGAAATATCCCAAAACATCCCTGACTTTCTTCTAAGCTGAGCCCAGAATCCAGGAGGATCTGAGGAGGCACTAAAGATGGAACAGTCACCTCCCTTATTTTAAGCTCCAGATCTTGATTAAGGTGACCAAGGACATTTTAGTGGCCTTGGCAGCTGTTCGACAGGGATGATTCCTACTGAACTCACCTCAACCCGTGCCCATGGTCAGAGTTTTGTATGGCTGATTTTGTGGACCCAAGGATAAGACTTCATATCCGTCCCTCCCTCTTTCCATCTTGCTGAGTTACATCCAATTGATTTTAACAGAGATTCAGTTATTCAATCTCTCCAGTAACTGACACGCTTCATGCCATACGCGGATCCTGACCAGCAGCAAATGGACAACAGAGTCGAGCAGAATGAGGCTGTGGCTCGCCACCAGATACCCAACACCAGCCATTAGGGAAAAGCTGTTTTCCAGCACGTCTGCAAGAGCTGCCCGGCTCCCCTCCCTGGCTGCCTACCTTTCGGCCTGCCTCGTTATTGTGTAAGTTCATGAGAGTCCGGGCATTCTGCTTGATCTCCCGGGCATCCACAAAGACCTTGGCGAAGCCGATGCCGTAGCGGATGTCGGCAGAGCAGCCACCCCACTTCCAGCCCTCGTCCCGCTGGTACTGGCCTTGCTTCTCCTTGTCGCAGCCACAGTCACTCAGGTTGCCTTGGGTGCAGGCGGCTGTGATGGCGTGGGCCACGCCGGCAGCGATGATGGCGTACGTGAAGGCAGCCTCCCGGCTCCCTGTGAGGATAAGAGTGGGAAGACGGGGGTCAAATCCAGGGCACCCCGGGAGAAGGCCAGGCCTGGCTACGAAGGGGGAGCTGGGCTCACTGAGCACCATTCCTGACCCCCCGGAAAGCTCCATCGTGGGCTGATGACACTGCCTGACACCGCCCCTCTCCGCCGCAGGCACACACCCACCCAAACCCGTCACCGAATGCCCTTGGGGCGTCAGCTGGGCCATGCAGGGTCGGTCGTCCGGCCTCTGGAAGGTCGGATGAGGGGACCCCTCTGTCGATTCCCACCCACGTCCCACCACCCTTGATGTGGCCGTGTAAACTGTGCACACGCACACGCTCACAGCATCCGGCAACACAGCACAAAGCAGCATTTCTTAAACACCTACGGTGTGCACAGGCTCTGGGGCTAGGGGCCTGGACTTAAATCCCAGGAACATCAGTCCCTGGCTCTGTGACTTTCAGCCAACTGCGACCCCTCCCTGTGCCTCAGTCTCCTTAGCCGTAAAATGGGGACAGAGCGATTGTACCTTTCTCAGAGCAATGACAGAGAGCAGTTAAGAGTTTGTGTGTGTCAAGCTGTCAGCTCCGTGCCTGGCTCATGGCACCTGCCTGACACAGCGGGTCGTATGCTCACAGTCCCTATTATTATTGTTGTGCGTCACCTGCTGTTTATAGGTCCAGCCCCTCCTCTTCTCCATGGCCCACTCACTAGACTGTGAGCCTCTCCCGAGAAGGCTGGGACCTGGCCCCCATTCACGTCTGTGTCCTCAGGCATCAGTCTGATACAGAAGGCAAGGGCTGGGGAAGGGGAGAGGGACTGCCCAGTCAGGGTGGAAAGGGGCAGGAAGGAACCTGGACAGGAAGGTTCAACAGGGGGAGGGTTGGGGGAGCACTGAGGCTGTGCTTTCCCACAGGTCTTCCCAGGTATTTGGAGATGGTCCTGCCGGGAGGCTGGGAGCTGCCAATAAGGATGTGCAAAGGTTCTGCAGGATGGTGCCAGGGCTTTAAATGGGAGTGGGAGGGTCCTGAGTAGCTGGGCACAGTGGCGCTGCCACCCTGCCTCTTAGCCTCTCTGAGCCTCAGTCTCTCCATCCGCAAAATGGGTTCGAGAGCAGTGTCTGCTGTACAGGATGAAGATGAACCCAGGCATGGGAAGCCCCAAGTGAGCCCTCAGCAAGTTCGCTTTCACAGTGGGGTAGGGTGGAGGTTCAGGGAGGGCTCCCGGGAGGAAGAGGCCCCACATGCCCGAGAGCAGGCAGATGAGGCAGGGCTGACCATTCAGGAAGGGGCAGGGGAAAGGGTTCCAGCACGTTGGGATGCAGATGACCTCATCAGTGGGTGAGGAGTGGGTGGGGCAGCCTCCAAGCTGCTTCAGGCCTCAGGTCACGCTGACCCACACTCAGGTAGAAGATTTCCCCATCCACCCGTCATCCACCTCCAGGCCTCCCTCACCCAGGTGGCTAAGACACAAACAACCTGCCCCCCTCCCAACTCCTGCGCTCTCCCTCTCTGCAGACGTGCAGGCCTCTCCACCTGTCAGATGGCTTTACTATACCAGGGTCCTTTGCTTTGACACTCCGTGCCAGCCCATCCCTGGCACCCCTGTTCACATAGGGCTTCCAATCCCAACTCCACCATTTCCTGCCCATGGCTTAGGCAAGTTCCTTGGCAGCTCCCGAGAAGTTACAGGAGTGTGTGCGACATGCTTAGCCCAGTACCCAGCTCAACAAACACCCCTACCCTGGGCACTCTCTCCTTTTAATTGCATCTCAACCTCGGGGGTGTGGAGAAGGGCATGATTTGAGCACCTACCATGTTCCTGACCCTGCACACATTATCGATTGTATTGGTGTTAGAAACCATATGTGTGTCACACGTGCCCTGCAGAGGGCTGGGCACAAAGCAGCCTCGATAGGAGGCAGCCACAGGGTGGACACATGTACAGACTCTACCTCCGGGCAGGCTGGGTACCTGACAACACTTATGTGAAATGAAGAAATGCCGAATAAGATCTTCCAATGCATGGCTGGGCTCATGGGAAAGCAAGGGAACCCATAAGGGCCACGTGTTGGAGACAGAACTGATCACCAGCAGAGTAAGAAGGAACAGAAGGTGGTCATCTCGTGTGGCTGGGCTCTGCAGAAAAGGGAGCTGACAAATTAAGGCCTCAAGGACCAGTGATTGGGCCTTGAGTCCCACCAAGGCAGGACATTGGAAAGGAGCTAAGACTTGATGGATACCCCCGGAAGAGGGTAGATTGGGAAAATCACCCCCCGCCACACACACACCCAGCAAAGCTAGACAACAAGCAAGCGGGTCTGATATGGCCAGAACAGGAGGTGGGAGGGTGAGGGGTAAGGAAACCAGAATCTCCTAGGAACTGGGAGCCTCGTCCCTGCCTTTGCGATTTGGCTCCGACTTGTCCCTCTGCGTGCTCAGGGGCTCCCAAGTCAAGGGGGAAGACTGGCCCCACGCTGGTGATTCCCTAAGACCCCTGGAGAAGCAAAGACAAAGCCCCCAGATACCAGCTCACAGCACAGACAATCACACAAGAAAGTAATATACTGGAGACAGCCAACAGTGAGATTAGACCCTCGGTGACATCAAAGAAAAGAATCATCAGGTAGAGGGTATGCAGAGAACAGGGTGAGGGGCCCAGGGTCATCCCTGTCCCTGCCACTTCCCAGCTGTGTGACCTCAGGTGAGTCACCTAAACCCTCTACGCTCCAGGTCCTTTGCTATAAAATAGGGATGGCAACCACCAACTTCCTTCGGGGAGCTGGGAGGATTAGAAAAACTAACAGGTAAAGCATTTTGTATGGGGCCTGGGATGAAGAAGGGGCCCCAATAAATATCAGATTTATTACAATTTCTATTGATGATGGTAGTAATGGTTCTTTATGAGAGGTTGGGAAGGTAAAGAGTCGGAAGCTACATTGATCTTCATTTATGGTTGAAGGAACCGAGGCCAAGAGAAAGGTCCGGCTTGTCCAGGCCACCCAACCGGTAGGCAGCAGAGCTGAGCTGCAGACTCGGCCTCGAGACACCCCATACAGGTCAAGAATGATCCCCAGGGATTAAATGACTTGAGGTGCAGCGGGCACCACCGGCAGGCTCCCGAAGCTGAAAGGAGACTGTGTCCCCTTTATCAGACCAAGAATGGAGTATGCAAATTGAGGAGGAGGCGGGCAGCCAGGCCTGTCATCTGAGCCCTGCCTTTCTTCCAGACTCCTCCCTGGGGTGGGGCCAGAGGCAGGGTGAGGAGGGGCAGGACCAGCACACTTTGCGGTAATTTTGTGTATAGCTACTCTACTCCACGGTGGGTGATGGTGCCCTGGTCTCTCCGAGCCCCCTGAGCAGCGCACGGTGATGCAGATGATGCACGTGGTGAGGGCCAGACAGCTAACTAAACATGGCTTCTGTTCCCAGGCACACCCCCTTCGGTTGGGGAAGGGCAGCTGCACCCTGACTCATGTTAACTCCCCTGAGTTCAAGGTGGACCCCCCCCACACCAGAGTGAAGTGCCACCATGGGCTATGGCCTTCCCCTCCCTGCCAAGCTGGCCCTCACCTCAACACCCAGAGAAGCAAAGCCTGTGGCTTCAGAGCTCCCGGGAACCCAGGTACTGGCTGCTCAAGTCCAATGCCTCTGGATGCTAAAGGGTCACTGTGAACCCCTGCCATTGACCTTGACATTGGGCTTGCCCACCAACATTAGACTGGCCCTGCCCAGTCCCACCTCCGTTTCTCCCCCACCGCCCACCTGACCACTGAGGAAACTGGCCTGGGCATCAGGCTGGCTGCATAGCTCACGTCAGGTCTGTTAACCTCTTAAAGCCTCTGCTGCTTCCTCTGTGAAATGGGCACAATGACAGGATCCATGCATCATGGGCTACGCAAGTAGACTGAATCACTGAACGAGGGGAAGGTGTGAAGCACAGAGTTCAGCACGTAGTAAGAGTTCGGGAAATGCCAACCATCGTGCTTGTTTTTGTTATTATTACTACCGAGTCCCATTTTGCCTCATGGTGCTCCATGATGCCCTGGAGGACAAACAGCCTCCCACAGAGGTAAGTGCATAGGGCTGATCCAGCCCAGTCTGTCTGTCTGCTCAGCCATGCTTCAGGTTCACAAGAGGACAGGGACCATGTTTGTCTTGCTTACTTTTTTTTACAGCTCCCACCACAAGGTGTGAGGGATGAATGAATGAGCAGGCCTGCATTCCAGCTGCAACCCTGCCAGAAGCTGGATGACCTTGGGCAAGTCACTTAACCTCTCTGCCCCTCCATGTCCATGTCTGTTAGTATCACCTACTCTGTAGGAAGAAATATATACCACCAAGCACTTAGCTGGTGTTTAAATAACGCTAGCAAGTGTTACAGTGATTATAATTGAGGAACTTACAGGCACACCGTCGAGAGGTACAGAAACTCCCTCCACACCCCGATCTAGTTTTCTCCATAGCCCTCCTGCCATTTTAGATTTATCTGTCGGTCGTCTGTTCCTCACACACCTACCACTCCCGCTGGAATATCATTTCCTTGAGGGCAAGCATTCTGTCATGTTCCCCACTGGGTCCCTGGAGCCTGACACATAGTAGGTACTCGGTAAATTCTGTTGCCTGAATGGATGGATGGATGGATGGATGGATGAATAGATGAATCAATGAAGGCTCCAAAGAGTGGCCAAGGACCACATGACCTTTATTTAGGGCTTATTTGCCAGGCTCCCTGCTAGGCACTATGGAAAAATATGTTCACCTATTCCTTAGAAAAACCACCCCAGGTGAGGTTCAGAGAGGGTCTGACGGGCAGAGGGGAGCAGTGGAGAACTCGGTCCTTTCAGCCTCCTTCCCCCACGGTATCCGCAGAGTTAGCCAGAGGCTGAGGGGTGGGGGGGTTTGCGGGGTTTGAGGAGGGGGGAGAAGGGTGCTGAGCACCTACTATGGGCCAGACCCACACGTGGCTATCTGGGGTATCTCACAAAAGCCCCATTGGTAGGC